GTATGTATGTATGTATGTATGTATGTATGTATAGGTACTTTAACTTTATTGTTATTTTAACCTTTTTTGTCCTCCACCCTTACAGGGGGATTTCTGGTGGAAAGTGCTCTAAAAGTTTCAGACTTTCACCAAGCAAAGAGGTAAAGACTATGATCTCATAAAATGTGGTTTTGTATAATAGCAAATTATGATATACTGTAAGTATAGTTCTATACTGAGTAATACATAAATTATTTTTTGATTTCCAGTTCATGAAGATAGTTTTCTTTGCAATGCCTGAGGCAGTAAGGATTATGTGTGCCTTATTTTCTTCTATACCTAATTCACTTGCATCACCTAAAATGCACAATGTGGGTGAGGTTGGGATATGACAATTAAACCATATTGATAGATCTTCACGTATCCTCTGCCAGAACTTCTGCACCAGTGTGCAGGACCATATGGCATGCATGTAGTTCTCCACAAAGTTACCTGACCAATGAGTGCATAAGTTTGAGTGTATAAGGCCCATTTGTAACATCCTTTGTCCTGTGTAGTGTATTCTATGGAGAGTTTTGTATTGTACAAGTTGGGACTTTTAGTCATTTTGAAAGTGTTTAAACATATTTGTTTCCAAAAGTTTTGCTCTGGATCGATGGATAGATCTTGCTCCCATTTTGAGATTGGGAGGGAAATTGAATCATCTATTTTTGACAATAACTTATACAATTTTGATAATAATTTGGGGCAAGAGAGATTTAAAAATTCAAGTACCCATGGAGGCACAGTGGTACCTCAGAATTTGAATTTAATCCGTTCAGAACTCAGGTTCAAATCCTAAAAAGTTCGAGTTCTGATAAAATTTTCCCCATTAGAAATAATGGAAAACCAATTAATTGGTTCCCGGCCCCCAAAAATTACACCTAAATATGTTTTTTTTTAGCATTTAAACACAAAATGAACAGGGTAAAAAAAGAAGAGCATATACTGTACTAAACACATCTAAGCACATTTATTAAAACAGTAATTTAGTAAGAAAATAAATGTATCCAAACAATGTGTAAAGTAAAAAAAAAAACAATGTGTCCTGACCCAGTCGTCCGCTCCTTCTGTGTGCTATGTCCGCTCATTAATCTCGTGTGGAATCCCCATGTCATCAGCTGTTTCTGGTTGTTGTCATTAGTCCTCTTTATTTAGTCTGCGTTTCAGTTTGTTTCCCAGGTCCGATCGTTGTATTGTCCATCTGCGTTTTGCCTGCCTTTCCTGTAATTAAACCCGTATTCCCCGATACTGTGATGACCAGTACAGACACAGGAGGCAGACCCCAAAGTGCAGTAGCCACTGGTTTTATTCGCAGAACCTCGAACAGCCAAAACCAGAAGGGGGATCCAAAGGAATAGTCGAGGTACGGGCAGAAGTCGAGCACCGGGAAGGTCAATCCTACACGTATGGATGAGACGTGGGGACGACGAGGGAGAAGGAGCAGGATCGTCAGGGCAGCAGGGCAGGATGGAGCAGGAGGGCAGGTCAGGTGGGATGAGGCAGGTCGGAGAGGGGTGAGGAGCAGGCAAGGCAGATGAAACAGCAGAGCAAGACACGGCAGGCTGGACAAGCATGGGAGACAGGACATAGGCAAAATGCTCAGTAAGGCTCATTAGGAAATGGCAACAATACTTCGCACAGGCTTCTGGGCCTACTAGCTGCCGATTGTCTACCGGTGCTCGGCATCGCCCATGTGGGCGTGACAGATACCCTGACGTCTGCGGCTTTGTCTCCGTTCCGTCCCCGCTCGGAACAACAATATTATTATAATTAAATATATTAATGGTTTATTATTAATGATATTAAAATAATTAATAAGAAATCTTTATTTTAAAATGTATTTTATTATATAATAATAATGTTACTGTCTATCATTGTCTAAATATATTTTTACTGTCTAAATATATGTATTCATTAGGGTAAACATGCACAATGCTATCATAGGAAATGCGAGGCAGAGACTGAAGTTACCCTGAGAGACGTGCCGCGTGACTCATTTCCCCGCGTGTACAAGTTATCTTAGGTCGGCGTTCACGGTTCAACTTCTGAGATTCAGATAAAGTTCTAGGTCTTTTTTTTTTTTAAACTGGTTGGTTCGACTTCTAATGAGTTTGAGAACTGAGGTACCACTGTATTTCTAAATTAAGCTGATTAGGATTGAACCTTGCCTGAATAATGGACTTGCTGATACTCAAGAAATTTACTGTTGCTAATTCCATATTTTGTGACAAATTCATTGAATGGGATAACTTTCCTGTGTTGAATAACATGTTCTAGATTTATAATCCCTTTATCGCGCCCTAAGGGAAAGTTCAATGCTTTCTTTTTCTGGCAAATATCTGGATTGTTTCAAATGGGTGTTAGTTTACGGGGGATAAGTGCAGACCTAGTTATTTTTAAAAATTACTACCAGGCTGTCAAGGAGGTGGTAATACTAAAGCTTTTAAAACAGCTATAATGCTTAATGCTAGGACTTATAAAGGGTAGATCAGAAATTTTTACTTCTCTCCAGCCATGGACTGTTTACCAGGCTTGATTTAATCCAGTTTGATACATGCTACAATCTGTTGGCTAAAAAGTAGTGATAGAAATTTGGTAGTTCTAGACCACCTTTAGGTTTTTGTAGGGTTTTTAAGCTTATTCGCGATGGTTTGTTCTTCCATAAAAGTGATGAGATGCTTGAGTCTAGTGATTTAAACCAAGCAATAGAGGGTTTATTAGGGATCAGTGAGAACAAGTAATTGATTTTAGGCAGGACCATCATTTTAATGGTGGAAATTCTACCCATGAGTGATATACAGGTAGGTAGAGATT